CAACATTTGAAACTTACCTATTACCAGTTCTTCTGCCTTCCTGGCTTTGAAGTATTCATTGGGCCCTCAATCTAGTTTGCTTTTTTAGGAGAAGGCTTGTTTTGGTTTTTTTTTTCCTAATGTTTGACCTTGCTTGCTGCCGCTTTGACATTATGTAAAGTGCAAAGGGATTGATGTTTCCCCCCTGAGCTGACAAACCTCTGAAGGGAACTGTGAACTTCCCAGAAGTCTTACCCAGGACCCTTCCCTCCCCAAGACTGAGTGGTTGTTAGCAGTGTTCCTGTATCTGTCTTCTCCTGAGGCAGGCTGGGAGGGGCTCCTTCTACCTTAGCCATCACAGTCTTTGTGGAGAGCTGGGGATTTCCCAGTAATGCAGACCCCAGAGATGCCAACCAGGACCCTCCCCTCCCTGAGCCTGGGTACCTGTGTTTTCTCTTGAGGCTGAATTGGAGGAGTTTGCACCAAAGATTTTTGGTAGGATTGTCATTTTCACTATATTGAGTCTTCCTGTCCATCAATAGAGAACATTTTTCCATTTATTTACGTCTTTTATTGGGTCTCACAGAAATGTTCTGTAGTTTTCTTTGTACAGATCTTTTGGGTCTAGTTAGGTTCATTTCCAAATATCTCCATTTATGGTTGGCCATTGTAAATGGTATTTTATTGCTTTATTAATTTCCTTCTCTGAGTTTTCTTTGTTACTGTAGAGGAATTCCACTGTTATTTGGATATTGATATCATATCCTGCCACCCTACTAAATTGGTCCATAACTCTTACAGGTTTTTTTGTTGAGTCATTGGGGTTTTCTGTGTACACTATCATATCATCTGCACATAGCAACAGTTTCACCATTTCTTTGCCTCGTTGGATGCCTTTTATTTTTTTTCTCTTGTTGTAATGCCCTAGCAAGTACTTACAGTACAATATTGAATAGAAGTGGTGACAGTGGGCATCTTTGTCTGGTCCCTGTTCACAAGGAAAATGCTCTTAGTCTTTCTCCATTGGGAATGATAAAGGCTCTTGGTTTTGCATATATATTTTCACTATGCACCAAAGATTTTTAATTCTGAAATCTCCTTCAGAATTTTCAGTATATTTGAGATCTCTCAGAACAACAATAGGGGAATATTGACTCTTTTATATATTAATCCCCTCCCACCATTGTTGTAGGGTACCAGTGAATTGAAGCCAATACATTAGCTTGTGCATTTATTTGACCATGTGCATTTGGGTTGACAGTGCAACTCTTTACTACTCTGTCACCAGAGCTCCCTGTCCTGTCATTGTTGTTATTAGGTGCTTTAAGTCAAGTGCACCTAACAACTCTTAGCAATGCTATGAACAACAGATATGAATCCCATCCTATCCTGTGCCATCCTCACTGTTTCTGATACACTTGAGTCCATTGCTGCAGTCACTGTGTCATTCCATCTTGAGCAGGGTCTTCCGTTCTTTCACTGACCCTTCACCCTTAAAAGCATGATATCCTTTTCCAAGAAATAGCCTCTCCTAGCAACATGTCCAGAATATGAAAGACAAAGCTTTGCCATCCATGCCTTCAAGGAGCACTCTGGTTGCATCTTTTCCAAGACATACCTGTTTGTTCTTTTGACAATCTGTGGAGGAGTCAGTACTCTTCTCCAGTACCACAAGTCCAAGACGTCAGTTCCTCCGTCAACTTTATTCATTGTCCAGCTTTCATATGCACAGCATGTAATTTGGCCTGAATCAGGTGCACCTTAGTCTTCAATCTGACATCATTGCTTTTCAGTATTTTGGAGAGTTGCTTGACGGCATGTTTGGCCAGGACAATACATATCCTTATCTCATGGCTGTTGGTGCCACGGGTGTTGATTGCGGATCCAGGCAAGAACAAATCATTAACAACTTCAGTCCTTTCTCCATCTATCATGATGTTGCCCACTGGCCCAGTAGTATCATCTTTATCACTAAAGATAACTGTATTAAAGGCTACAACATAGGGGAAATGCCCCTTGGATCCTTTTACAATTGTGATTAGACAAAGTTTTGCATTCTGCCCTTAATCCTCTTAAAAATTACTTAGTTTACTAAATCTTGGGGATCATTAGATAGCTTTTCTATTCTATTGTTACACACAGGTTTTAGGGAGACAATATATTTACCAAAATTAAATTTTTTTATCGACCTAAAAATCACCAGCAGCTCCACAGGAGAAAGATGACAGTCTCCTCCCATGTGATTTACAGCCTCTGAAAACCTGCTGGAGGGGCAGCTGTGAGTCATTTCTGACTCAAAGACAGCATGAGAGAGTATGAGAGAGAACCTAAGAATATCTCCAGAAAAAATTTCATATGTACTTTTTAATTTTTCTTCTCTCTGTTTTAAAATGATCTGGAATTCTTCCTTAAGGAACATTAAGTAGATCCATTTTATTTTAGTCTCCGTAGCATACAGATGGATGGTATACCCACCAGAAAATAAGTGAGTTACTTTCTTGTGATCCACAAGTTAATGTCTGGTTGACAAAGTCTACACTTAGTGATTTTTTTGATGATTTTCTAAAAAATATATATCCCTACCAAATTGATATGTAAGAGTTACACACTTTTTAATGCTTGTTAAAGATTGAACTCTGATATATTCAGGGATGGATGGATGGATGGACGGACGGACGGATGGAATATTAGTATTGTAGTACTTCCTTTGCAATAATTTTACCTTAGTATTTTGAACTTAGACACTAACCTGGAAAAGCTTGTTTCTGTTCTTCGTGCCATTGAGTCATCTGTGATTCATAGCAAACCTTTGTACAATAGCTCTGAAGCCTGCCCTGTCCTGAGCTAGCTCACTGACTCTTAATTCACCTAACCCTGTGTCGTTCCATCTCATCCGGGATCTTCCTCTACTGCACCATCCCTCCACCCTTCCAAGCATGATGTCCTTTTCGAAGGATGGAACTTCAAACTCCTTGCCTCCAAGGAAAAACTTGGTTTCACTCTCTCCAGGACAAACCTATTTATTCTCTTGGTAGTCCGTGATATGTTCAGTACTCTTCTCCAGCACCATAGATCAAAAGCATCAATTCTTCTTTTGTCATCCTTAGTCATTGTCCAACTCTCTGATGCATCGCAAGTAATTGCAAAGACTATGGCCTGGATCTCAGCGGCTTATGAGTGATACCGTCTTTTCTCACCTTCCATTCTCTTCGTCCCACTCTACTTGTTTGCAGCATCCCCTGATTGTTAAGGAAGGCCACATGAGTGAAAACGAGGACAGTGGTTCCGATCCCCACACACAGTAGACAGGCCGATGCTTTCCTCCCTTAGTTTAATCTAGTCCTTAGATTGACATTATTACTCTTTAGCACTCTGGAGAGGTCCCCTGATAGCAGACTTCCCCAGTGCAATTTGCCTTTTGATTTCCTGACTGCTGAGTGTTGATTGTGGAGCCGAGCAAGCTGAAATTGTTAACATCCTTAGTCTCTTCTCAGTCCATCATGATGCTGCCAGTGGCCCAGTGGTGAGAATCTTTGTCTTCTTGATATTGAGCTTCCATCCACATTGAAGACTGCAATTCTTGACCTTCTGGAGTAAAAGCTTCAGATCTTCAGTTTCAGCAAACAAGGTTGTGTCGTCTGCCTTCCTGCAGTCATGATGCTACACTCATCCTCATAAAGTCCAGCCTCCTGAATGATCTGTTCTGCATACAGATTGAAAAAGTATGGAAATAGGATGTATCCATCACACACTCCTTTCTTGATTTTTTTAAATTATTAATTTCAATGAAAATTTACAAACTTTGGGTTTCCATTCATTCATTGTTGCACTTCCTTTCTCGATTTTGAACAACAGTGTTTCCTTGCTCTATTCTGAGGACTACCTTCTGGTCCAAATATAGGTTTCACATGAACACAATCAAGTATTCTGGGATTTCCATTCTTCTCAAAGTTAGTCACAATTTGTTGTGATCTATATACAGTCAAATGCCTTTACATAGTCAATGAAGTACAGACATTCCTCTGTTACTCTTTGCTTTCAGCCAAGATCCATCTGACTAGTACCATGGCTTCTTAACTTTTAATTTTCCATTGAAATGGAAGAAACATCATTCTTAGTAATTGTATATTCTTTATACTACAAGCCCATAACATGTTAGTAGATGTTATCTAAGAAAACCTTCTTTGGCCAGATACTTGGAAGCAGGGCTGTTGTTAGGTGTCATCAAATCGAGTATAGCTCATAATGACCTTATGAACAATGGATCTATCTGAACACTGTCCTATCCTGTGCCATCTTCACACTTCCTGACTAGAGCCCATTGCGGCAGTCACTGTGTTAATCCTTCTGCTTGAGGGCCTTCCTCTCCTTTGCCAACCCTCTACCCTCCCAGCATTATATCCTTCTCCCCCTCCTAGTAACATGCCCAAAGTATGTGAGATGAAGCCTCATCATTCTTGCCTCCAAAGAGCACTCTCTCTGGCTGTTTCGGCGAGCTCTAGTGGCCTAGTGGCAAGAAGCTACACTGCAGTCTCAGAGGTGCACGGTTTGAATCCACCAGATGCTCTGCTGGAGAAGGAGGAACAATCTCCTCCTGTATCAGTCAGATCTGATTTGACGGTATACACAACAAAAAATAATGAAATAAAATAAAATATAAAAAAAAATAGATTGTTTGTTCTCTTGGCTGTCCATGGGATTTCAGTGCTCTTCTCTTAACACCACAGCTCAAAGGCATCAATTCTCCTCTGTCATCCTTACAAAACAGGGCTAGGCGAAATAAAAATTTTTTAAACAAGGCTTTTTATTGCAGGACTTTCCAGCACCTTCAGCATACTCACATGTTTGTGGATGTCTACAGTGAATGTGATAGGAGGATAGAATGTTCTTTTTGCAGAGAAACTATTTCAAATACATACTAAAACACCATGTTAGTGTATTGCTTTAAAAAGCAGCAGCTTATGAGTGATGCCATCTTTTCTCACCTCCCATTCTCTTCGTCCCTCTCTACTTGTTTGCAGTATCCCCCAGACTGTTAAGAAAGGCCGCACGGGTGAAAACAAGGACAGTGGTTCTGACCCCTACGTACAGTGGAGAGGCCGATGCTCTCCTCCCTTCTCTCAGAACAGAGGTGTGGACGTGGGGGAAAGGGAAGGAGGGACAGCTGGGACACGGTGATGTTCTGCCTAGGTAAGTGCTGCCTTTGTTTACTGATAGAAATTTGTGGATGGAGCCTCTCTCCTGTCATGGAATTCTAACAGGAAAAGATTGTGTACAAGTCTCTTAATCTCAGTTTTTTCATGAAGAAAATGTAGCACCTTGAAGCTCTAGGTTGTTCTATGTCATTCTTTCTAATAAAAAGTTGTCACATCTTTGGAGAGCATTATGCTAAGTGAACTAACTCAGTCCCATAAGGACAAATATTGTATAAGACCATTATTGTAGAACAAATATGAGGATCCAAGGCGGGGTGGGAGGGTGGAAGCACAAGGCTGAGGATGAACAGGGGGCCAGGCTATAATCATAAGGTCACACAGTTTGATGGGTAGAGGGAAATGGGGGTGAAGGAAATGGAAAGATCCAGTGTGAAAAAAATGCATATGAGCTTTGTAAATTAGTATAAAATTTAAAAAAAATGAGTTGTCACCTCAGTCTTAAACTTGTTAAAAAGTTTCGTGGGATAATTTTCCATTCCTTTTTTCCCCCATTTTTATACTGGTTTATTTACAAAGTTTAAATATATCATTTTTCATACTGATCTTTGACATTTCCTTCACCCCCCCCATCAAATTGTGTAACTGTGATTAACAGCCCCCCATCCTAATCCTACTGCTCCCAACCTCCCCCCTCTTGGATCCTCATATGTGTTCTACAATACTGGCCTTATACAGGATTTGTCCTTATGGGACTGAGTTAGTTCACTTAGCATAATGCTCTCCACTCCCTCCCAGGTTAGGTAGTAATTTACAAAATCTTTGTTCCTGTGTGCCTTAAACTCAGTACCGTCGTTTTAGTTTTGACTCCCACCTTGTTTCTAAGACTGTAAATCTTAATGCGAGGAGACTGTTTCTCTTTCTTTCCTACAGTTAGAATCCATAGTGCATTCCAACTGAGCGAGAGACCTGAAGTGTTTTGATTAGTACGGCAACACTCTGTGAACTGCAGCCCTTCAGCTCCCAAAGGGCTGGATGGTGATACAGTGACACAGTGCAATCAGTGTAAAAAAGTAGTGTTTGAGCACGTGTGGATGAATGCAGGCAAATTGTTATATAGGGAGGTGCATAGAACAGATTACATAGAATAGAATAGAATAGAATAGAATAGAATAGAATAGAATAGAATAGAATAGAATAGAATAGAATAGAATAGAATAGAATAGAATAGAATAGAAACAAGTATTCTTACGCCTACTGCTGTCAGGCCCCTCCATAGTTTTCAAGGCTGTAAATCTTCCTGAGAGGAGACTACCTATCTTTTTCCTGAGGATCATCTAGCAGCTGATGGATTTGAACTACTGACCGTTTGGTTGGGGTAACCATAAGAGGTAGTCAAGTAAAAAACACAATCAAACCCACTGCTGTCGCGTCGATTCTGACTCAGAGCAAACTTGTAGCACAGAGTGGAACTCATCATAGACCCTTCAGGTCTGTAAATTTATGGACATATAAACTACTCAACTGTCTTCTAAGAAGCAGTTAATGGGTTCAAACTACTGACCTTTTGGTTAGTGGCGAAAAACTTGAACCACAGTGCTCTTAGTAGAGTGAAGGCAGCTATAATTAAATGGAAAAAAGTCTTCTCAACTCTCCTCTGTGCATCCCTCTGTGTAACTCTCCTTTTGTGGTATCCCACATTTGCTCTCTGCCATAAGGAATCAGGCATAGTAGTATGAGTTTTACATATATTTTGTTGTTGTCATTGAGAAACTAGACAACAGAGTGCACAGCAGCTCATCAGCTTCTCTGCTGATAATTCTGTGACAATGATTGCATTCTTTGAGCCGTGTGGTCATTCGCACTCTCCTTTTTGAGTTGCCCCATCCTTGTTGCATTCACTTCCCCTTGAAGTTCCAGTCTAACGTTGGAGGTGACTGTTGCCACTTTGAACTCATTTAGATCTTAAAAGAGCCTAGTGCTCAAGGCACACGTCCTTTATTAGTTAAGCTTAACTATTGTTTAAGAAGACTTCAAGTGACTGTTTTTGCTTTAGGGTTTAAAGATTCTCTCAGGGCAGTGCCTTTTGTGATTTTTAACAGATTCTCATTATGTGGTTAATTATTTTAAAATATTTATTTGGTAGTTAGGAGTAGACAGCATATATCAAATGTTTTCACTTGAAATGTTTAGTTTTACATGAAAAAAAAAATTCTGCCATTTGAGAAAGGCTATAGTTCTTGATGAGAATAGGTTCTTCCTGTGGGTGCACATACAAGTGTGTTTTTCTTTAAGGCTTCAACCACTGTGTGTGAAGTTTCTGGATGGTAAAGAAGTAATCTACCTGGAGGCAGGTAGCTGCCATTCTCTTGCCCTTACTGCAAAATCCCAGGTAAGAGGCAAACTGTTAAGTTCTGATTTTGTTTCATAAAAACAACATGGCAAGATTTTAAAAAGAGTGTTGATTAATTTTTATTCTTAGATGAAGAAAATCCATAATTAAGATGTATGAAAGAAATAAAACACATTTTCCTTTTAAAAAAATCTTGGCCTGAAGATGACCTCCAGAACCATTTAAATTGTCCTCTGGAGACAGATGGTAAAGCTTCATCTCTCGTACTTGGAGCATGTTGCTGTGAGAGGCTGTCTCAGAAAGGGAGAGTCAGCTAAAGAGAGGAAGACCCGCAATGAGATGGATTGACACAGTGACTGCGGCTGTGGGCCAAGTGTGTCAGAGATGTTGAGGATGGCACAGGATAGGACAAGGTTCAGATTTCTGTTTATAGAGTTGGCTGTGAATTATACTTGACCCGATAGCACTTAACAGCAACATAGAATCTTTAAAAAAACCAAACAAACAAACCCAAACCTGTGTTTTAAATATAGTCCGATAAAGACTCTTCTCCAGTCCCTTTACCTTCCTGGAAAGCAGAAGACTCTAAACCTAAACTTAAAACTTAAATAGTTTAAGTTTTACCTATCAGACTAGACAACTAGTGGAAATAACTCATGTAGAACCAATATAAATATTAGGAAGTAAAAGGAGAATTTACTGTGATTAGCATGATGAGTCATTAAAAACCTTCAATAATAGATTAAGAAAATGGTCAGTTACAAAGTAAACATACGTGAATTACTGGCCTCCTTCAATATTTGCAATGAGAAAGAAAACATACTTGGGAAGAAATGAAGCCGTTCACAGTAATACCAAGCCAGACCAAATCCATGGTCAAATTGTTTCTAACTCCTCGCACCCGTTTATGAGGCTGTAAATCTTTCCAGGAGGAGACTCCTTTCTCTTACAGTGTACCTTGTGTTTTTAAATTAACAACATGAAACATAAGCTGTTATCCACCAGGGCTCTTTAATAATGACTAAATGACATAAGAACAATCTTGATAAGAAATGTTTAGAGATCGTATAATACAAACTCTAAAACACTTTAAACATGTTAAAAATGAGAAGTAGGTAAAGGGAGAGAGATTCAGGTTTTGGATTGGAAGAGTCATTATTACAAAATGTCATTTCTTCCTAAATCTGTAAGTTCAGTTGGATCCCAGAAATAGAATAAAGAAAAAATATTTAAAACTTAGAAAGTTACTCTAGAAGATTAAATATATGAGGTAAGTTAAATAAATCCTAAAAAAAAAAAACAAAAAACCCAGAAAGTGTGAAGATTAGCTTATACTATGTATTTAGCTTATAAAATGTATTACTAAACTACAGGCAGATCAGTGGAATAGAAATATGACTATAGATAAGAAATGGAAGCAAGTGTGTCTGTGAGAATTTGTGGTTGTTAGGTGCCACTGAATTGAGTATGACTCAAAGCGACCCTCTGAACAACAGATCTGAACCTTGCCCTGTCCTGTAATACCCTCGTTTCTGACACACTTGGGTCAGTGGAGCGGTCACTGTGCCAGTATATCTGGTTGAGGATCTTCCTCTCTATGCTGACCCTTCTTCACCTTCCCAAAAATGATGTCCCTTTCTAAGGAATAGCCTCTTAGCAACATGTCCAGAGTATGTGAAATGAAGCTTTGTCATCTTCCCCTCCAAGGAGTATTCTGGCTATACTTCCTGCAAGACTTGGTGTTTGTTCTTTTGGCAGTCCTTGGGATATCCAGCACTCTTTTTCAACACAAACAAAACAGTAGTTATTGATAAATGATCAGTTCATTAATTGTTTCACTTGCTTTATCTTTGTTGTACCATCACAATATTGTGCTTGAACTGCTTTCATAATAAATCCATTTTCTTTAAATAGTCATGTACTTGTGTTTTCTTTTATCAGTAGTTCTTGTGTTTCTCTTACAAAAACCTTCAATATGAAAAGGATTTAGAGAGTACTCCAATGTGTAGGTTAAAAAAAAAATAATAATTACTTTAAAAAAATAGCACCTGCTTTTATTTTCCTAATACTTTATTCATAAGAGAAAATATAGCGTTAATTCCTGAGATTAAATACTAGTTCTGTCACTTATAAATTTGTGACCTTGAGTAAGTTTTTTATCCTCTGGAAAGTTTCTTTATTAGGTTAGGGTTCTTTTTAAGGGATTGTTTTGAGATTAAGGATTGATTAATACTGGGGAAATGTAAAGACCAGTGTGCAGTGAATAAACATTTCAAGTGTTGGTTGCATTTTTGTTGCTAACCTTTGTATTTTGTGTCTTAGATACCCTTACCTGTTCATTATCTCTGTTCTTGTTTTTTATTTGCTATTTTAAAGAGAGTATAAGTAGTTTATCAACTATGTATGTAGATATGTGTATGCACACACACATGTGCTATTAAATGTATAAGTAGTGTTCGTGTATATGTGCGGAAGTTGTTATAGTAGCTTTGCTTTAACAAGCAAAATCAGGTTCACAATTCTTACCTGTTCTCCTTTGATAGGTTTACTCTTGGGGTAGTAATACCTTTGGTCAACTTGGGCATTCGGATTTCCCAACAACAGTTCCTCGTCTTGCAAAGGTACATTGTGAATAGGATAACTTTTACAACTTATTTCAGAATTCTAAACTTTAACCATTTGTGTTTCTCCATTTCTCATTTTTAACAAAGCTAGAGGAAATTGTATACTTGCAAACTCAATTTAATTTTCTGTTCTAATTTTGAGAAACATTAAGCCATTTGTTTTCATACTTAATGGTTTTGGGTTTTTTTTTACTTTATTTGGTATTAACAGGTTTGAGCATATTCTTTTTTTTTTTTTTAATTTCCATTCATTCATTGTTACACATTTTCCTCCCTGTCCCCCCTCTCCCCCAGTTCACTTTTTTCTTAAAGTTCTTTCATTGATACACAGTATACCTCCTTACTGTTTTCTCTTAATATGTTAATCAGTATTTCTCCTTAGCCACTATTGTCCACTTAATAGTCTTAAGTCTTACCTTGTTTCAAAGTAAAAAATTAGAAGTAGTTTTTAGAAGAGAAATTTGCTAGCACTCGTGTTGACTTCGGAATTTTACACTACCATGCAATGTCTGTTATTGACTTTTCACCGAGTTTGACTTACATAGTAAAGTTAAGGAATTAATTGTATTGTTTTTAAAAGGAATTAAAAAGATAGGTACTTGTTTTTTACTGTGTGAATGAGTTGAGTTTAGTGCATATGGGTTAGTCAGAGATTCATGGCTTCTAGTCCCTTTGAAAGAACTCGGGTGGCATGATGGGTTAAGCTCTGTTTGGTGGTTCAGTCCCACCAACTGAGGAAGACTGTGACAGTCTGCCTCGCTAAAGAATTCTCGCCTGGGCAATCTTAGGAGACAGGTCTCTTCGGTCCTGTAGGAAGTTGGAATCTACCAGAGAGCAGTGGCCTTGACTGGTGGTTAGTCCCTTTGAAGAAATTCTAGAGCAGTCAGTGTTAATCAGTCTTTTTGTTCAAACACCTTAAGGAAGTGTGACATTCTCACTCCTCCTTATACCAAGGGATATTTGTGGATAATTACAACATACTAACGTGTGTGGAATTCATGAATTTCCCTCTTCCCCAGGTTTTCCTCCACTGAGAGTACTCATTCACTCACTCAGTGGTAGTGTTGTCCTTAGTGAGTTGCCCTTTTAAGCAGCTGCCACACTCCTCTGGCACTTTGAATTCTCCAGCTGCTTTTGGAGATAAAGATGGACACCCTACTATGTGATTTATAACATTGGAAACCCACTGGAGAGCAAGCTATGAGGCGGAATTGACTGGACTGCAGTGGGTATGGAGAAGATTAGAGATTAAGTATTACTCATTTCACAAACTCATTCTTGTCAAGTTAATTTTGACTCATACTTAGCCTGTAGGACAGAGAAAAGTACCCCAGGGGGTAGCTGAGGCTATAAATCTTAGCAGGAGTAGACCACTTCCTCTTTCTCCCACGATTTGACTTTGAACTGCTATTCTCTTAAGTAAAAGCCAACATGCTATCCCACCAAAAATAAGAATTTTTGTTGCTAACGGTCAGTTTGTTGTTGGGAACCGACTCATAGCTTGACTCTCCAGTGGGTTTCAGAGGCAGTGCACTCCATGGAAAGAGACTGTTCATCTTTATCCCAGAACAGCCGGTGGATTCAAACCTCATGCCTTTGGGTTGGCAGCACAGCTTCTTACCACGAGGCCACTGATTAATCTCAACTTTAGAAACATGGTTCAAATAAAAACTATAGTTAATTAATGTTACAATAATTCATATATTCAGCATACTGTGTACTCATAACTTGATCCAAAAACCTCACTGCCCTGGACTTGATTCAGACTGTGATGCCCATCCATCGGGTTTTTGAGGCTGTAAATTTTACAAGAAGAGTCTGCCTCATCTTCATCCTGTAGAGTAAGGATCGTAGGTGGGTTTGAACCAGTCACCTTTTAGTTAGCAGCCCAACTGAACTACTAAAACTCGTTATCCATGTAGATAAGTTTTATGGGGATATTATACTAAATGTTGTTACAGTCAATTAAATTAATTTTACTGGAGAGGAAAAAAAAAAGCCAAACCTTAAAACATTAAGCCTGTTGCCAATGAGCCAATTCCAACTCGAGTCCCTGTAGGACAGAATAGAGTTGACCCATAGAGTTGCCAGGACTACTCTTTAAGGAAGCCGACTGTCCCATATTTCTCATATGGAACATCTGGTGGGTTCATAACGACAACCTTTTTACTGGCAGCCAAGCACTTACCCACTGTGCTACCAGGCCTTCTCTCTGAAAACATTGTTGTGAATAGGTGCCACTGAGTCACTTCCAACTCCTGGTGAGCCAGTCTGTGTCCAGCAGAACCAAACAGTGGCCAGACCTGCACTGTTCTTAGTCTCTACTGCTCTGTCAACCCAGCCTGAGAGGGTTTTCCCTCTCAAAATCTTATTAAGGGGCTTCCATTCTCCAATTTTAGCTTTATTTCATTGTGTTTGGGTTTTAATTTTTATTTTTTCACACACAACTGAATGTGAATAGACACAGCAGCCAGGTGTGTCCCACTTGCCACATAGGGTTTTAGAAGTCATTGAATCTCTTGATTATTGCACTTCTCAGACCTTGGGAGTTCTAAACATAAGAATTAAAAAAAATCAGATCTATAGTTATTTCCTTTAAAATTTCAGTTCTTCCGATTTTGATAAAAACAATCCAGTTCTAAATTGAAAAGTTGAGGGGGAATCTGCTTTCTTGCTCTTCTCTTCTGCATTGGGTTGGGCACATCAATGGGTGAATCCTGCTCTCTGAAGAATGTCTGACTTGGCCTGGTACCTCTGAGGTAGCCTAGCATTTCAGTTCTTAGGGATCAAAAATCCTGCCTACGTCCTTCATCTTGAACAAATAGTATCTTGCTCTCGTTTCAGGTAAATGGTGAACATGGAGTGTGGAGTGTAGCTGCCGGCCAGGATTATTCCTTGTTTTTAGTGGACATGGAAGATTTCCAGCCTGCGCTATATTACAGTGGCCGACAGGAGCCTCCAGAAGGTGACAAGCTTCCAGAGAGTCACAGTGGTACTAAGACTCCAGTACTTCTCTCCTGTAGTAAGGTGAACAGGAACTGGATCCCAAAGCTCACCTTTAACACATGAAAATTCTCCTTCTATTTGTGTGTGTGTGTGTGTACACCTAACTGTTGTCATGTATCCCTGACTACCTGGTTTAGAATTACAACACCCTCCAGCATGCCTTTTCCTGCAGTTACTCCCTGTTACTCATCACCTCTAATGCCCTGTATCATTTACTTATTTTTCTGTTATCAGTCCTCAACTATAATGCTACATTCATATGGGTAGAAATTTTAGGTGTTCTCATTCACAGCTAGTATTCTCATACTTGTTGTTGCTCTGTACTGTCGAGTTGGAGCTGACTCATGATTTTCAGAGGCAATTTTAATCACACAAGAGATTACCCGTCTTTCTCCTGGAGAATAGCTCCTGGATTTGAACTGCGTGCCTTCAAGATTGCAGCACAGCTCCTTACCACCAGGCCATCAGAGCTCCATATTTTAATGCTATGCACTTTATAAATGTTACTGAATTAATGCCCCCTTGGAGGATTATTACAAGCTTCCTAACTGCATTGTGTAGTCCTCAGAGGTGAATAAGAAAAACAATAGAGTGGTTGGATTTCTAACTATAGGTGGAGAATGGAAATTGTAGGAACAAGAGTTGGGCTGGTGACAGACCTGACTGTCCACTGGCAGTTCTCTGTGTCTTACTGCTTCCCCCTTGCTCTCACCCTTTCATTTTATTTACCATTGTTTATCCCTGCTATTTCACATGTAGATCTGAATTTCTTGGCTTTCCTACTTCTCTTTTTCATAAGCTGTACAACCAGAGGCCCATTGCTGCTTTCTTTTTGCTGTTAAAGTAACTCACATTTTCAAAGTGGCACGATAGAAAGAAATTACTCTTAATGCTAGAGTCCTTTGGATTTTTTTTTTTTCTTATTGAGTGATATGGCCTCTAGGTTCTTTTCCGTACTTTGTGTTTTCTGGCTGTGACCATGAACTGCATGTACAGGGAATAGATCTTTTCTGCTAGTGGCAACACTAGCCAAGTTTTGATAGTTGGTTGAGGCATGCTAATTGAGTCTTAGAGGTTGTTGGCTCTTACCCCACTTTCCCCATGAAAGATTCCATAGTCTAGATAAAGGGTGAAATAGCTGACCGGAAGAGATGCAAGGCTTTAATTTGTCTTTGGTTACCATGGAATGCTAAAGGCTACTGAATTGGCAGCATGGCTGCCTGCTTTCATAAGGAAATGTGAAGGATATGAACAAAATGGTTTTGTTCAGTAAAGTCACTGGTAAATAAAAATTTCCCTTTTGAAGAAAAAAAAATTCTGTGCTGTACTTTGAAGAGGAAAGATAACAGTTACCCTTGATATTTTATTGTATAATATTGGGATTTTTCTCTCATAAATCTTATTTCATAAAAAAAATGTCCTGCAACACCCATATCTTTTACATCTTTACATATCCAGCAGATATCAGACATCTGTAATAAGAAATTTTAAAAAGCATTTTGGAGTTAATGCTTTTTTAAGAAATTATATATGTATGTACTTGTGCATACTCTTCAATCATTTAAACTAAAATATTTTTCAATTTTATAT